GGCAGTACAGTGGTCCGTCCCGCGAAGGGGCCCCACTCCCCGGCCGGACCGCCCCCGCCACTCTCTCCCACAACACCTAGCACAGCGCTGCGCCCCGAGTAGATTACAGCGCGGCCTTTGTCGGGCGGGCCTGGCTCCCGGCCAGCCGTCCAAACAATAAACAATTCCCCCTGGTGCGGGCAGGGGGTTTTCTCTCGCCACCGAAAGGCTCTAGGTGTATGCTGACAAATATCTTTATCAATTGGAAGGAAGGGAAGGGGCCCGGAATGGGGGAAGGGAGGGCGCTGCGCCGGGCGCTGGGTCTCTTACCTTCCACCCACAGCTCCTCCACGTTGGTCTCCAGATTAGCTGCCTTTAATCCCACAGCGAAGGCCCCAAATATGAGGAGGCCCACAACCAAGAATTTGCCGCAGTTTTTTTGAATGTAACAACCCAGTTTAAATAAGAGTCTCTGAAACTTCGCTCTCAGCCACAGCGGCGCTTTTCGGCCAGTAGCTTTCCCCTGAGGATGAAACAGAAAGGAATGGTGAGCGCCCGGGAGTTGCGGCCCGTGCGCCCACTCCCGCTTGCGCGCACCCGCTCGCGGATCCCGCGACAGCCGTGGGGGGTGCCCTCGAGGCTGGAACCCCAGACAGCACGGGAGAACTCGAGCGGTGTGGGGGGTTGGGAGGGCTGGGCATAAATCAATGTCGGGTTGCAACGTGGGAGTTGCACCCCGGGGACAGCAGAGGCGCCCCCACGCGTGGCCTGCACAGCATCCCCGAGCGCGACATGGGGCATTGGGAGAAGGGGTTACAAGAACAACGGGAAGAGGAAGCTGAAGCAGAGTGCAGAGAATTCACTTAACACAAGCAATAGTCCCGCCGGATCTGGTAAGGGAGGGGCTGCGTAACCTCAGCTATGGAGCCCAACTTTTAAGAACCAGCAAAGCTCCGCTCTCTTTCCTGCAAATTCTGCCCCACCCTTCACCCCTCTCCGGCTGCCCTTGCGAGGACGCGGGCTGGGGGGCGAGCGAGCTTTGGAAACAATATAGTGCGGGATCCCCTATCCTGATCCCTCCCGGCGTGGCAGTGGATCCACGTGGTGAGCACTGATGCCGGGGCTCACTCGGGACCCATTTCCATAGCGTTGAGAGACGCTGTGTGAGCTGACTTAGGAAGTGGGGCAGCCATCTGCAACTTACGACAGTATTTGTGA